CTCTCAGCACTTTCCTGTCTTTATGTCTGTTTAGTTCCCCGGTAGTGTTGTCCGGTTTTTCTGCTCTTGAGATTTTTCCAGTTGGAATTCAGCTCCTGGTGTGTATTTCTGTGTGTTTCTGGTCTCCAGCTTTTGTTTCCTTTTGTACTATAGTTTTGGATGTTTTTCTTTGGCCAAATAAAGATACTTCACATTGTTGCATTGTTGTCCTACATTTTGATTCTCTTTACACGCCTCTCCATGCTTCTTTTGTTTTATTGTGAGGTAAACAAGACCTGTAAGGAGAGATGAACAGAGAAAAAAAATATGATTAAACTGAGTCCATTGTATTAACAATACACAGTGCAGTATGTGTGGGGACTGAAATGGTACATGAAGTAATTTCATGGTCATGAAAATGATATAAAGTCATAATGCCTTAGATGTGGAATTATTTATTCTTACAACTGTTGCCAAGTCCTAAGAGTTCACATATTGGTTTATTATTTCTATTGAATGCCAGATGCTGGAGTTGTTATTGGAATTTAAATAGTTGATTTTGGGATGATAATGTAGGCCAGGAAATGACACAATTTCTGGGGTTCTTAATGTGAAGTCTTTTATTGTGAGTGAGGACTGAAAATACAAAAGTGTCCCTTTTACTTCTGTCTAAAAACAAGAAGGACGTTGGCAGCAAAAGATGAAATGTGGCAAATTAGCAGAAAAAAACAAAAAAAACAAAAATGCACCAGAGAAATAAAACCTGCTGAAATGTTACATGCATTATCTTATAAACACTTACATTCCACAGCAATGTCTCAGCTCTCCCTGGAAACTGGAGTACACAAATGATCTCACAACTTATCCCCTACACGCACAAAATGGCCGCCCTGCTCTGCACATGGATGTTACTTAAAATTTAACCCCACAGCTTTTTTTGGAAGGTGTAACTGTTGGGGCTGGGGCCTTGTTTTCAATCCATACAAACCTTTATAACATATGAACTGTAAATTATTTACCCCTGTATTTATTTTCATGCTTTGTGGCAGCTTTTGAACATCTGTGGCATCTATTAATGTCACATCTAGCCTTTCTTTAACAACATAAGCAAACTGCTTTTATATTTAACCGACTTTTCTGTTTAATTACATTTTAAGTAATAATAATAATAACAATAGTATTTGTTTTGTTAAAAATGTGTTTAAAAACCAGTTTTGTTGTAAAAGCTATAATCCAGATTAGTGGTCTGTTAAATGGTTAAAGTCTAAATGGTTAAAATAAGTTTCCACTTATTTTCATAGTGGAAAATAAAGTAATATAGCTTGTCCTTCAAAAGAATTTAAATTCCACAGTTGAATCATAAGAAACATTTTTGGGTTGCTCTTTTTTTTTTTTTTTTTTTTTTTACATATAAACACTCCCACATGTTTTATCTGGTCACTGTGCTTATTAGGAACTTTATATGCTGGAAGTTAACTCTTAACAAGCATGTAATGATTACATTTAAATTAGTTGGTCTTTTTTCAAACTCATATCTCTTTAGGCCTAAACTGACAGTGACAATACCACACATTCAGACACAGTAGTAGATGTTGCTTTTAATACTATATGTGTTAGTCTAATTTGTCTGCATTGACCTTCTGTGTTTTAAGTTATAACGACTGCTCGGCCATTAAGGATCAAATCAGCTTCTTTTTTTTTTTTTGCCTGTCCCATTTGGTTCTTTAGCCGTCAGAATTGTTGTCTGAAGACCAACAAGGATACCCAATGGATTTATTTTGCCAAATGGATCATCATGGCATTGCC